AATAAAATTTTAATTTAAACTATTTATTTTAATAATTCTAGTTCTATTGTGCTATAGAAGTATAATTATCATATAATGATTTTATATGATATATATTAAATTATAAGATAGTAAAATAAACACTCATTTTAACATTAAAAATAATAATTAAATTAGAAAAAAATAGTAATATAAAAATAAAAGTGATTCTAATTATTTTGTTTAATTTTTATTTTTATATTTATTTAGAAAATAAAATATGTAAAAATAAAACTACAAAAAATTTATTTAAAAGATTAAATATAAATATGTTGTGATTGGATTAAGAAAATACATAAATTAATTATGTAGAGTATTGATTTTTTTTTTAATATTCTTTTCGAATTATTCATACATATTGTATATAGGTATATAAAATCTAAATTAAATATAAATATTTTGTAATAAATAATTTCATGTTAAATAAAAATTACATATAAATTGATATTAAGACATTAATAAGATAGAAAAAAATATACAATACAAAAAAAATTAATTTGATCAGTGCGATACACATAATTAAGCACATTCTGTCTTATTTGTATATCGAGATAAATTTTTTTTCCAATATTATAATAATTAAATTAAAATATTAATTATATAAAAGAAATCTAACAACAACAAAACTGAATACAATATAAAAAATAAATATTTCTCAAATAAAGTCTATATAAAATCAGTTATTATAATTAAAATTAAATTTGTATAGAACTTTGTATGTTAATAAAAAATGTGATTGTTTTTAAAAAAATAAAATTTTAAAATGTGCCACAAGGGAAAAACAATATAATATGATATTTATATCATTCCGTATGGATTGAAGGCCTTCTTATGAATTCAAAGAACATCTCTAATGGTCTATCAGGGGCCTCCGTAGATGGGCTAACCTTTTGCATGCAACTATCATTGGACTTACAAGTCACCCATTAGCTACTTCAATGACTCCAATCAATAATTTTTTTTTGGGGGGGTAAGAAGCTAGAGGCATCCGATTCGCTATCTACAGTTTTTTATTTATTCTCTATTTCAAAACATTCATATTCATTGAATTGTTTCTTGAGATTAATATATCTTGAAATTTTCATTGATCAAATAATTGTGTGAGTTTTGAGATAGGAAGTCAAAAATTTAGGGAAAAAATATCTTAAATATGGCTAGAAATGAAAACAATGTCTACTTGTGATCAATTATAATAATTTATGGGGGTAAATTACATTTACCTCCTTTAAGGTTTCTGACAAATACAGGCACTTCTCTTATGATTTGAATAATTACAGTAACCTCTCTTATTTTACTTGACAATGTCAAAATTCCCCCCTTTTGTCAAATTATTCCAAACGGTATTACTTTTTTATAATAAATTACCTTATTGCCCTTCCTTTTAAATTATTAAAAATATTTTTGGATTGGAGGACAGGTTTGGAAGAAACAAACAGTGTTTGTAACAGTATTTTTGGATTTATTTTTTTTAAATATTAAAAAATGTTTTTAAAAAATTATTTTTTATTTTAAATATATAATTTTTATTTAAATATTTTATTTTATTTTGTCAATATTTTATTTTTTTTAATTTTAATATTTTAAACTCAAAACACAACTTCACACTCAAATCGTAACCAAACACATGACTCAAAATTCAATTCAAAAATTATTTTCCAACTTCATAACCAAACACATAACTCGACACTCCACATTATTTTCAAAACTTTACACTCAAATCGTACCCAAACCCATAACAAAAAAATTAAAATGTTTAAAAATATATTTATAAAATAAAAATTATATATTTAAAATAAAAAAATAAAATTTTTAAAGTTTTTTAATATTTAAAAATATATTTAACATAAGTTTGTATTTTTTAAGTTTGTATTTAATTATGAGTTTTGAAAATAATTTTTGAATTGAGTTTTGAGTTGTACATTTGGTTAAGACTCTATGAGTTTTGAAAAGTTTTTTGAAAATTTCTAATTGGAATTGTGATTCTTAAAGAGAACCAAACATGTTTTCAAAAAATACTTTTTTCCAAACATGTTTTTATTTAAAACTCAATTCAAAAATTATTTTCAAAACTCATAACCAAACACAAACTTAAAGCTCAATTCAACGCTCTTTTCAAAACACAAAACCAAACTTTTTCAAAAACTCTATTTTAAAAGAAAAAAAATTCAAAAAATATATATTTTATTTTTTAAAATTATTTTTAGAATCATGTTTGGTTATAAATTTTAAAATTTTTTGAATTTATTTTTTTAGGGTAAATATTTTATATTTTAAATATTTATTTATTTATTTTAATATGCATTATATTTCATGCATCTATGTGTTGTATTTTTTTTAATATTTTAAATATTAAAAAATTTTAAAATTTTTATTTTTTTATTTTAAATATATTTTTTTATTTGAAATATTTTATTTTATTTTATAAATATGATAGCGATCCCCGTTTTTTTCCCTTTCATTTATTGTATTCCAAACTCAGGTCTAGTGGTTGTATGTTGTTGTCTTTACCTTGTTACCATCCTTTAATTCTTTGTATTTGAATTGTTGGAAGTGTTAGGTAAGTTTGGAACAGGTTGGTTGTGAGTTGAAACATATGGTTGCTGTCCAGGTTTTTCCTTCCTCGCTTGAGTGAGGTTTTTTGCGCTCAAGCGCACAAACCCTCGTTCGAACGAAGAAGCAAACACCCAATGCCCGTGTTTGGAGCATCTTCAAGTTTCCCTTCCTTTTCCTTTGAGCTTCTCCTTTTGAGGTAGGGATAAATTACTTATCTTTATGAGTTTTAATATAAATGTTAGTTATTTTGTATAAATGATGTGAATTGGAAATCTTGAAAAGTTAGGGTTTGAGATTTGAAATGTTTGAAAGAGGGGTTTTCTACCTTTGGGCTCCATTATATATGTGAGGTCTTAAAAAGGGATTATATGTATATGATTGGTGAAATTGGGCCTTAGGTGCAATAATTAAGAAAGGGGGATTAATGTCCTAATCGAATTTAAATAATTATTTTGTATAATTAATTCAGTAAATTGTGGAAACATGAAATTGGGTTGAGAATCTTGAAATTGGGGGAAATTGTGATTGAATGGTGTAGTTGAATTGATAAATCACTCACCGATGGAAAATGTAATAAATTATCTGTTGATAGATTTATTTATCTGTTTAGAAATAATTGTTTTGGGCTATCGGTGAAGGATAGTCTTGATTGTTGTAGATACTGCATGATGATTAGGGGAAATTGAAACTAATCAATTGAATTATGTCATTGAATGTGACGGTGGAATTAACACATTGAATATGTGAACTGTTGGGTCATTGTATATGACTATGTGTTTAAATACATTGTAGATGTATATTGTGTAGGAGGAGATAGGGAATGAACTCCATGGATAATCAAGTTGGTCGGAGTGTCCATGGTGAAAGTTTCGAAATCTTTTATATATTTGGGTGCTGGTTCCCTCGAACGTAGTTCTATAAAATGGCAAGTGAATGGAAGTGATAAATGATATTTGCTATTGAAGTGTTGATATATGAGTTGTAGTCTCATTCTAAACTGTTTGGATAATATTGGACTATGTCAATGAATTAATTGGTTATAGAGAGGATGTATGTATCTTTACTTGTGTTAAACATTTATCGGATGTTAATGTTTTAGTTAATTATCATATTCTGTTTAACATATCTCTACTGGGTTTTGGCTCACCCTACTTGGGACACCATTTTCAGATACAGATGACATGCCGCCTCCAAGGTAATAGCTTCAGAGGTCTCAGGGTGAAGCTTCTGTTTTAGTTGTTTTGTTTTATGTTATATTTTTTCATTTCAAAGCTAAGGGCTTTTGACTCTCCTTTGTTGTAACCAAGTTATGCTTGGAAATGTGTAAGCTCGTAGGGCATTTACTTTGCTGATTAACATGTAACATCTTTTGTGAAGAACACTCTGATGTATGGAATATAATACCTCTTCTATGTTTTATGGATCTTATGAATGAATGACTTATGTCTTTTTTTTTAGGGCGTTACAAATATATTTTTAAATATTTTAATTTTTTTGTTATCCGTTTGGTTACAATTGAGTGTAGAATTTTGAAAGTAGTGTGGAGTGTCGAATTATGTGTTTGGTTATGAGATTTAAAAATAATTTTTTAATTGAGTTTTGAGTTATATGTTTAGTTATGATTTGAGTGTGAAGTTGTGTTTTGAGTTTAAAATATTAAAATTTTAAAAAATAAAATCAAATATTTAAAAATATTTAAATAAAAATTATATATTTAAAATAACAAAATAAATTTGTTTTAAACATTTTTTAATATTTAAAAAAAATAAATCCAAAAATATTGTTCCAAACACTGTTTGTTTCTTTCAACCCTGTCCTCCAATCCAAAAATATTTTTTAATATTTTAAAAGGAAGGACAATAAGGTAATTTACTATAAAAAAAGTAATACCGTTTGGAACAATTTGACAGAATGGGGGAATCTTGACATTGTCAGATAAAACAGAGGAGGTTATTGTAATTATTCAAATCACACGGGAGGTCCCTGTATTTGTTAGAAACCTCAGAGGAGGTAAATGTAATTTACCCTAATTTATGGTCTGTACAAATCATTTGGGTTAATTTATTCATAATCTTTGTACCTTATTAAGAGTCATGTGTTCGAGTTTTGCCATTGATTTTGGTACATGGCATGAAAGGATTTATAAAATCAGGAAGAATTCTCAATTAGAAGTCATCCCTTTCCTCTCAATTTTTTATTGATAAAAAAAAATAATAATAAAATAAATAAATAAATAAAAATAAAAATTTGAAAAAGAAGTTGAAGATTCACTGTCAAGAAAAGAATAGCAGAAAGATGAGACTCAAAAGAAAAACATCACATTCCTTCTTCACTTCCAAGTACTACCACCATTTTTAGCAATCAAATAAACACATTAAAACAGTTGAGTTTGTTATAACCCTAAAACCCCACAATGAAGAAGCTCTACAATGGAATCCCCACCTCAAAATTCATACTATTTGTGTTGCAGAGAATTCACCAATGCATATTCCTTCAAGAGATGTTGTTTCTTTGTCTTCATTTTCCTTTTTTTCACCGCTGCAACATTAGGCGCGATTACTCTCATCATCTTCTTCGTCTTGAAGCCCAGAGAGCCCGTCTTTTCTCTCCAAACCATCAAATTGGATGCATATAAGCTCGATACCAATTCAAACTCGATGCTTTTTGTTTCATCTGTTATTTCTTTAACCTTAAATGCTCAAAACCCTAACAAGGTTGGCATAAAATATAGCCGTTCAAGGCTTCATGTTCTTCATGAAGGACTCCCCATTGGAGAAATCAAAGTACCGAACTTTTATCAGCCTGCTCACAGCACGAATGTCAGCGTGAGAGCTCGGGTTTTGTTTCAGTGTGTGAATGTTAGCGAACTCATTTATGGAGATTCATCGGAAGATGATACGATGAAAGGCATTGTTAAGATGAAATTAGTTGGTGACATTGCAGCTCATGTGCAGGTGCTACATATTACCTTGCCAAAGTTTAAGGTTTGTATATCACATCTCATATATCAAACACAACTTTTCTCAAGGATTGGTTTGCAGCAGGCAGTAGCGGACCCAAAAATTGTGCAAAATAGGGTCATGGCAAAATTGTTTACATTTTAGAGGGATTGAAGTAAAATTATTTAAATTTTGGAGGGTCAAAATACTACTTTTGTAAATACTCAAAATTACAGAATAATGAGATTTTTAAAAAAATTAGAGGTCAATGTAAAATTATTTTAGTATTTGCTGAGACTAGAATAAAATTATATAAATTTGGTGACAAAATGCTAATTCTTTTAATAAATACTTAAAAGAGTAAATTGGTGATAAATCCAATATAATGAGGTTTGTCCAGTGGATATTTTTTATTAGTGAAATGTCCATCTTTTGTGAAATAGTTTGGTGAGAAATCATTTTTCTTGTTCTGTAGGACTTTTTGTTTTGAATTTTACCCCTTAATTTATCTATTGACTTTTTTTTATTTGTTGGCTTTCGTTGACTATCTGTTTAAATTTTTTTGCTACCTGTTCAAAATATTTCCTATCTTTTCAAATTTTTGACAATTGGTTCAATTTTATTTTTCTTATCTGTTGAATTTCACAAGCCTATTTTCTTCTATCTATTTAATTTTTTTTATTTGTTTAAATTGTGATATAACAACAACAACAACAACAACAACAACAACAACAAAAAATTCTAATCTTATCTTCCCCAAATCCTAAGCTATTCAATATTTTACGTCTGTTTTTCAACATATCTAGGCAAACCCATATCCAAATCCAGATCTGGACATTTCTAGAAATCCAAATCTAGATCTGAGCTATTTCTGCAGAATGAATCAAATCAAATTCCATCAAACCTTAATTCCAAATCCTAATTTCATCAAACACTTCAATTTTATTGAATTCAAACACGCGCGCATGAGAGAGAAAGAGAAAATCACAGAAAGTGAGAGTTTTCCTTTATCTGGTCAAATATATGTCCAAATTTTATAATATGTTCAATTTTTTAACTATATGTTTAACTTTATTACCTGTTCAAATTTATTATCTTTTTCTTCTAAATTTTATTATCTAAAAAGATCTATTCTATTATCTATTTAAAGTTTGAACAAATAATTTGTTTCAATCTGTTTCATCATCAGCAGTAGCAACAATAACAACAACAAAATAAAAAATTAGATATACAGATCATTAACAACAAGAAGGCCAATAAAAAAAAATTCCTACTGATTTGTGTTGGATCTATGTTCAAATCCAACAAAATTCCTTCTATCTGTTAAAAATCCAACAGATTTGCAAGCCACAAATCTGAGATCGTCAGCCACACAGATCTTAGATCTGAGCACAATGAAATTCAATTCGATTTAATCCAAGCAAATTAAAACAATCTCAAATTGAAAACACACACACACACACACATACACACACACACAGAATTTGGAAAGAAACCCTAGATCGCTAAAGAGACGAAGTGGTTTCGGCTTGTAAAGCGCGAAGTTTATGACTCTTGTGTATATATAGATAGAACAAAAACCTTAAACAGAGCGGTGACTACGAATGTTCTGGAAACTGGTGAGTGAGTGAGTATGTGTGTGTGTGTGTGTGTGTGTGAGAGAGAGAGAAAGAGAGAGAGAGAGAGAGAAAGAGAGAGAAAAATCTGCAAATCTAAAAAGTAGAAGTGGTGGTGATGTTCAAATCTGGGCTTGATCGAGCAACGAGCTTAGATTCTAAACCTTAGAAATTGACCAACGAAGGAGATTAGTCTCTGATCAGGCCCTGAAGTCGTTAGAGTAGTTGATGGTGAACGATCTTGGTAGTTGATGGTGAACGATCTTGGTTGGAGGCACCGACAGCGGTGGGAGAGAGAGAGAGAGAGAGAGAGAGGAGTTCAGATTTGTCAATGGCAGCTTCGTCTTCTTCAACCTTGATCCTCTTCTAGATCTGTTCGTGTTAGAAAAGTAGAGAGAGAAAATAATATGTATTGTATTGAATGAATTATATTGAATAAAATTATCCTATACAATAGAAGGCCTATATATATAGGCTGAGAAAGAGTATCCCAGTAGAAATCTAACTATAAGAAAGAGTTTCTCATAAGAGACCTAACTATGACAATACCTAATATATCTAAAAAATCAATACATAATATATGTAGAAATATATATCATATATATATTAATATCCCCCCTCAAACTCAAGGAGGATAAGCATCTTGAGTTTGGAGAGAGAAACTAAAACATGAAATAAAACTAAATAAAATAAAAGGCGAATAGATTACAAAATCCGAATAGGAGCTCAATGGCGCTTGAAATAGATTAGAGGCCGGAACTAAAGTCAAGAGACAGTTTATAGTCATGTCAGACCATTGTAAGAGCTGGCTGAAACTAATGCCAGAATAATTTAAGGTTGTGCCGGACCAATGTAGGAATGGCTAGAATTAATGCCGAGAGACAGTTTATGGTCGTGTCGGACCATTGTAGGAATTGGCTGGAACTAATGCTAGGATAGTTTAAAGGGGTTATGCCGGATCAATGTAGGAGCTAATTGGAATCAATGTTATGACAGTTTACGGGATCGTATCGAACCGTTGTTGAGAACTGGATGTTGAACCGGCAAGCATGACGTACACATAACTTATGACGTTGTGCTGAACGATGATAGCAACAAATAATTGAGTGCGCCAAGGACGGCTTGGATTGTGCGCCAAAGGGGGCGGCTTGGGTTGTGTGCTAAAGAAGGCAGCTTGGATTGTACACTAGAGGGGGCGACTTGGGTGGTGCACCAAAGGGGACAGCTTGGATGGTTCGCATGGTGTATAACCATGCTTACCATGATATATGTATAAGATGCTCCTAAACTCAAATAGGTTTGAAGATAAAAACCAATTTGAGATTGAACATAGAGAAAGACAAAGTGAAGTAAAAACACACAAAAAAAAAAGTGGATTGCGAGGGAAAAAAATATGATAGAGATAGTTGGGATATAAATAAATTAGTGGATAGAGGAAGAAATCACCACGAAGCGATACTAAAAGGAAAATATAGCAATGGAATGGGTTGAAATCCGGCGGGCACCAAGGCAAGGCTGTCGCCGGCCGATAAGGCAAAGAACACCAAGAGCTTAAACTATAGCTCTGATACCATGTTAGAATAGTAGAGAGAGAGAGAGAGAGAGAGAAAATAATATGTATTGTATTGAATAAAATTGTCCTATGCAATAGAAGGCCTATATATATAGGCTGATAAAGAGTATCCTACTAGAAATCTAACTATGAGAAAGAGTATCCCATAAGAAACTTAACTATGGTAATATCAAATATATCTAAGAAATCAATACCTAATATATATAGGAGTATATCCTATATATACATTAACAGTCTGGATCTGGATCTCGCAACGGCGGAAGAGGGCGATAGAGCAGCGACAGAGGAGTGCGACGGTGGAGAAATTTCGACACAGAGGAGAGAGAGAAAGAGGGTCTCTCGTGTATATGATATTAATAAGGGTATCTAAGCTTGTCTTTTGGACAAGGTAATCTAGACAAAATTGAGAATTGGATTTATGGACCGAATGTCCTACTTAAAACTAGATAGTAAAAATTATTAGGAATACAAAAATCAAACACAAAAAATAAATGCATGGACAAGATTTTGCAAGATTTATAGGAGTGTTTTGAAAACTTTGATAAAAAGTTAGTTTTTTGACTTTTTAACTTTTTTTTACATAAAAAGTCACAAAAAATCAGCATTTTTAACATAAAAAACCCAAAAAATTACAAAACAACGGCTCTGTTTGGTTGTGCTCTGTAATCAATTTTCTACCCGTGTGTTGGAGCATGATGTTTGGTTTTGTTTTCAAATCAATTTTCTACACTCTGCAGAGAGAACTCTGATGCACAGGCGCCTTTTTTGTCCACCCGGTAGACCACCCGGATGTCCACCCGGATGTCCGGCTGATTTCCAGATTTTTTTTTTTTTTGCAATTGATTTACATAATCGGGACAAATATTTTCTGAAAATTTTTAAATTTTTTATGTGCTTTAAAATAATTTTGAATTGTATATTTAGTTATGAGTTGTAAATTTTTGTATCACATATCAAATGTCACATCAATAATTCCCCACTCAAATCAAACCTCTTTTCCAAAACTATTTTCAAAACTCTTTACCAAATAAATTTTCTACACTCAAATCATAATTTCACAACACACAAACTCAAAATACAACTCATACTCTCAAATCACATTTACAAAACACAACCAAACGCTACCCAAAAGTTTTTTTTAGTAACTTTACAAAACACCGCATAGTGTTCAATCCATAGATTTTCCGTGTGTTTAGTTTTTTGTATTCGTAAACTTTATTGTAGTAAAAATGAGATTTTTCAAGCCACTGATTGGATGCATGTTCCCTTGTTTTTTTGTATATCTTTTTTTTTTTTTTTTTGTATTAATAATTTCAAAATTTTCAACTGTGCATTTCTTCTTTTTATATAGGTTGCTTTGGAGTGTGACATAGGTATTGACTACAAGAACTCGACATTCAGAAATGAACTTCTTGCCGTGAGAGATTTTGAAGAGCATTTTGTATGTGCTTTTTATTATTGGACCTGAAGCCCCTCCAGTCCTTCATCTAGACCTGAGGATATTATTTAGATCCGTAAAATCTATTATGGATTTTATTTTAATGATTTGAACTCTTTATTTTGTCTGACATTTTGTATATTTTATTCACAAAAAAATATAAAAAAATAATCTGATAGTCGTAAATTATTCAATTTATCGAATTTGTCACTAAAAAAATAAACGATAATTATAGTTTTAAAAATATACAATATATTTTTTTAATGACAAATATAATAAATATAATAGGTTATGACCTAATTTTTTATGTAAATAAAATATACAAAGTACTCAACAAGATTAACGATTTAAATTATCAAAATTAAATTCGTAATGAATCCCACGAATCTGAACAAATCCTCCAAGGACGGAAGGAAATCCGCTTCCTTTATTATTATTATCCTCTCTTTCCATTCCAAAATTCGTTTGGGAATGGTATATTCCGTATTTCCCTATTGTCAATCATATACTTTCTTTTAACTGACCATTTTAAAATTCACTTGCTTTTTCAGGCATCTCTCATCTCTTCCGACTCGGAAACATTCTCCAAGAATTGTTCATTGGCTTTTTACTTGTAAAAAAAAGGCTTACGCTACATGTAATCAAAGACATGGTGGGATGTAATATACTAACTGAATAGTAAAAAAGTTTTTGTCATATGGGTCTATTTTATTGAATGAATTATAATATAAGATTTAGATTATTAATATATGGGACTCATAAATTAAGGGATTCTAGTTTAGTTTGCTAGTCTTTTTGGCTATCAAGTTTCTCTAAAAAGAGGTCTTGAGTTCCACTCTTAAGCAGACTAGCTTTGGGCACAAGTTGATAAAGCAACCACTTTAAGCCCAGAAAAATTGACTAAAAAAGGTTCCAAATTTTTGTTAATTATTATATTAGCTTATAAAAAAAATTTTACTGAAATTTAAAAGGTCTTAACAAAATTCAGTTATGATTTAAAATTAAAAAATGGTTGATATGATAAATTATTTAAAACTAATAGATAACTATTTTTTATTGGAAGAAACCAAAAAACTTATTGATGTGATAAATTATTTGAAATTATTGAATGGTTATATTCCAAATATATGATTATATATAGAATACGATTGATTATATTACTTGCAAGTACTCTTTTCAAATTAAAGTTGATTAAATCTGGCTTGATTAAACAAAGCTGGCATTAGAGATTTTTTTTTTAATTTATAATTTGAATTATTAGATCAGACACTTCAATTTAAGAATAAAAAAGTGACGAGTTAGTCAAGCAAACTAAAGTAATACTGAGAGGGTAATTTTTTGGAAAAATTAGGCCGAGCTGCGAGTTGGGCTTTGTGGCCCAAAGTGCGAAGAACTAAGTAAAAAGGCCGTAATGATTACTCTGGCCCAATAAAAATGCAAAAGGTTACTCCGGCCCAGGAGAGGCAAGGTTACTCCGGCCTAGGAGAAACAAAGTTACTCCGGCCTAGGGAGGTAAAATTACTTCGGCTCAGGAATTATAAAGATACTTCGGTCTGGGAACGATTTAGAGTTATGCCGGTCTTGGAGTTATACCGACCGAGAGTCATTAGTTTGGTCTAAGACCGTACCATTGCTTGAACATGGGAAAACCGAGATAAGGATAGAGTTAAAAGTGGAACCGAACTAAGAATAGTTCGGTTTACTCAGTGGCTCTGCATAGCCAAGCTTATTTCGGTCATATAGTAGTTCGGCCAAAGTAAAAACCATCCCACTTGGTTTAAGCAGTGGGGAGGGTGTAAAAGGATAAGCATTACCCTTAGGAGTATGAATCCTAGGAGGACTCTACATGGAGGAATAACAGTCCTACTAGGATTGTGCCACAGGAAACTTATAAAAGCTCACAAACATCACCTTGGAGGAGGTAACAGAACACAACACAATTTTGCTTTCTGAGAACATAGAGCTTTGTCTATTTGTCAAGCTTACTGACTTAGGCATCGGAGAGGTTTCTGGCACACACCCGCCGGCTAGCTCACGTTTGTGTTTTCAGGTGATAAAGCGACGTCGTACGGAGGAGCGTGGACTCGGTCAACAGGATTATACGAGGAGAATTATTTCTTCCCCGTACAATTGGCGCCGTCTGTGGGAAGAACAGACAAGAACAAAAAACCTCTTGACTAAGCTTCTCATTTTCTCAATCAATGGCACACATTGAAGAACTACCGCAGTCCGCCGTCGACGGGCTAACTCCAGATGGGGGCGCAAGGCGAGAAGGATTACCCTCTGTCCCTCCTATGGCAGATCTGGAGCCCTAACAACATAACTCCAGGAGGGGTAGCAGGGGAAGGCGGAATAACAGTCCTCGTCACTCTCAGAGTCCCGACCGGCAAAGACGGAGGATTGACCCTCAAACTCTGGAAGACCGCATAAAAGAGCAAGATGAATTAATAAGAAAGATGGCGGCGGACATGGAGACCTTGAAACGCCAGATGAAGAAAAAAGAAGTGGCGACAGGAGAGGGGCGCAAAAACAAGACGCCCCCTCGCCACTCAGAAAATCGTAGTAGGAACACTACACCCTCACAAGGAGAGAGCAGAAGCCTCAGGACAGGCGACACTCAATCCTTGTCTTCCAAAACTCGTCACTCTAGGTCTGAGAGGACGAGATCTGAGAGATCATACACTGAAGGAAGCACGTATTGGCCTTCACATTCACACCAAACCAGATCTAGACAGACAGAGCTGCCCAGGTCATCCGACTTACGAACCGTGCTTGAAGAAAAAGCACAATGCAAGGAGAATGCCAAGGCAAGGGATCCACACCGAGTTTCTGCCTTACAGCGGTTGGTTCCTCGGACGCATGGAAGCGTCAAGGTTGGAATGCCAATACCGCGCCCTGCCTACGAACCAACGGACAAAGCCTTAGCAAGACTACAGACTTCGCCGTTTGTTCCAGCAATCGAGAACGTACCCCTACCATCAGGCTTCCTTCAGCCGAAATTCACCACATATGAAGGGAAGACGGACCCGTACTCACACTTGAGCCACTTCCGCCAAGTCATGGCTGTATACAGACGAAACGAGGCCTTAATGTGCATACTCTTCCCATCAACGGTCGTGAACTCACAGGAACGCGCGCTTTGTTAACTTGGAGCGATTGTTGTAAATTCATTGCAGAGCGTGGCGCGAGCATAAGCTGCCTGGGCTCAACTGGCAGAAAGCATTTGTAAAGCAAGGTTTTTGAACACAACACTAAACGCCGGTGGAGAAATAGAACGACAGTTACTCTCCATCGACATAGATCGTGGGGGATAACAATAGGAGTAACCTGAAGAATCCTATTCAACAAGTCGCTAAGGTCATCATGAATGGCGAAAAAAGCCATTCAATTCGATTGGGGACTGCCCATCCAATCTTGCCATTGTGCGCAGTAGTAAAAGACGGCCCTTTCCAGTAGGGAACAGACCTAAGGGATTCGATCACCACTGACGCCACCCTCACATATGGAGAGTCCGATGGAAAGAGATGCATCAGCACATCAGTGGTTTAGAACGAGGATTGGCGCACGTGCCAAAGCATAAATTAGTGCACGCGGTACAGAAAAGAAGACGCCCAGCAAAGGTCAATGCAGTAGATCGGCGAATAAAAACGGGCGTGGCAGACGAGATAACGGAGAAGACCCAGACAAAAGATGGTTGAGAATCCGCACTGCCATAACAACGGTGTTCAAAAAACCAATATATCGGATTCTGAGCGAAATAAAAGATGAGCCTTTCGTCAAGTGGCCAGCCAAGCTAGGGGAAGCTCAGAAAGATTACGACGACAGATCGCGTTGCACCTTCCACAAAGAAAAGGGGCACCGAACTGAGAATTGCACACCGTTAAGACAACACTTGGAAGAGTTGGTGGCAACAGGCCACTTGGACAAATATATTGAAAGAGGGATGCAACCGGCCCCCCAAGATCATAATAACCATCCCAACAGAATGCCAATCGACGCACCACCTCAAGGTATTATCAATGTCATACATGGAGTTTTTGAACCTGAGCGTGTATGCGAGCTTAGAGGATCAATTAAAAAGGCTGAGCACTTTAGAGAAGTGCTAGGTGCCCAACCAACCACCAAGAAAGGGAAGACAGAGGCAACAAACGTCATGTCTTTTTCGGATAAAGACCTGGATCGAATTTATTGTCCGCACAATGATGCTCTGGTTGTCACTCTCCGAATCAAAGATTTTGACGTCAAGCGGATTCTGATTGACTAGAGTAGTTCATGTGAGATCATGTACTACGAAACATTCAAACAGTTGGAGCTACAAGACAAAGACTTGGCGCCTGCAGTTTCTCCCCTAATTGGATTTAACTCCATGCCAGAGTGGCCCGTCGGCAAAATAATTCTTCCGGTCAGAGCAGGAAGCGTAACAAAACAAGTGGAGTTCTGGGTATTGAAGGTCCCCTCCACTTACAACATCATCCTGGGCAGAACATGGCTGCATGCCATGCGATCGGTGGCCTCATCTTACCACCAAGTAATGAGGTTTCCCAATGACACCGGTATAATTGAAGAAGTCTATGGAGATCAGATCATGTCAAAACAATGTTTCGCCACGGTGAATGGCAGCCGCGCTGCCAAAGGATATGTTCATTCGGTGGAAGAACCAGAAAGTAATGAACTATTCGCGGACGTCGGTAAAGAGGCTGATCAGAAAGCGGTGGAGGAATTGGTGGAGGTAAAAATAGATGAGAAGAACCCG